ACGTCCGCCCAACGGGGCTTTGTTAATGGACGGGCGTTGTGCTGGTGTCGGTGGTTGTCGATCTGGTCGGTCGACATAGCTGTTTTTGTGCCGTGTGCATTTGAAAGGAAGCCATTATGAGAATGACACCTTTTTTATGTTTAAAAAAAAAAAAACTACGTCCACGTGGGCGAATGCATCTTTCTTGCGTGTGTTGTCTTCTTTGTGCTCCTCTCGCTCATGTCCATGCTTGTGATATGTGTATGATCTCGGAGAGCAGGGATCGTCCAGTAATTGCATGCATCTTTAATGTTGTCATGGACAACTTGTGAATATGGTGTGTGATATTTTGTGCAACTTTCAGCCTTTCTGCCACACCATTTTATTTTATTTTATTTTATTCGCACACGAATACAGCCGACTTCAGTCGTTCGAGTTTGTGATTGCCATTTCCGTATCGATTCACCGAATGATTGATTGATTGATTGTCTGATGCATATATTGACCGATGTATTGATTGAATGATTGATCGATTGTTTGATTGTTTGTCTGATTGATCGAATGATTGATTGATGGATTGATCGATCAGTTGATTGATTGATTGATTGATTTATCTATCTATTGAATGATTGGCCGATCGATCGATTGATTGAATGATTGATTGATCGATTTTAGTGTGATTGACCCCGTGGATAAGACTCCGATGGGATCATCACCAAAGACATGCAGCACACAACCAAACACAGAATGAGCGGGATCGGAATTTGAACCGTAACATGGCCACACAGCTATAGAAGGACGACAAAAACAAGTGTTGGAGAAGTTCAAAACACAGAGTAAAGGCGATAGCGCCACCATATTAAAATCGTTGATGGAGCACCGTCCATCGCTCTACATATGTTTAGCAAGAAAAGAGCACTGACAATACGAAAACGTGAAATAAATCTACACTAAAAAAAAAACAAAAATGCATGGACCCAGCTATGAACGTTTTCTCTCCCCACCTTCCTCCCCTCCCCCCCCCCCCCCCCCCCCCCCCCCCCCCCCCCCCCCCCCCCCCGACGTGGCGACCAACACCGAACATGAGGACGGTCATCCTCCACAACATAGCAACGACCGAGGTAGTGATGTGGAGAGTGCACGAGTGCGTTCACTCGTGTTTCATGCGCTCCGCAAGTGCTTCGCCCAAGGCCATCGCCGGGGGCCGATTGAAGTTCTCCACAATAGAGTGGGGTGGATGACCCATCCCCAAGTCCACTCGCCGGCGCACACCATTCGCGTCCACCTCCCACAACAAGTTGTCGTCGAAATCGATGCCGACATCCGGGAGAATGTTGTGCAGAATGCACACGGCTTGGAACTGTTGTGGTAGAGTGTCCATATTCGTTTTGCATGTGCGGAGGAAAAACCTCCACATCCCCTTCAACCTACCAAAAGGTCTCTCCACCACTCCACTGGCGACCTTCTGCTTGTTGTCGAACCTCTCCTCGTCGGGGATTTGATCGGTCCCTCCAAAAGGCACCACGATCCACTCCATGGGAGGATAGCCTTTATAGCCAAGGATGTAGCCGCGTGTTTGCACCCCGAATGGCAAGAGCACAACAGGACCACGAAAAAGATCCCCCGCTTCATTGCGCATCCACAGACTGGACAACTGAAGCACTCGGATGTCGTGACAGCTCCCTGGATAGCCGACGAAAACGTCGGTGACATGCAAGTCCAAGTCCACAACCGCCAGCGCAACCACTGAAAAATGATGCTTCCGGTCGAAATAGTTCTCGGATGGCGCGTTGGCTGGTTTGCCCACATAGATGTAAGTGTCGTCCATGCAGCCATAGCAATTGGGGAAACCCTTCGCCTCGAACGCACGCAGAACGACCAACCGCCACAACCCAGAAGGCCAAATGATCTTCTCTCGGTACACACTGAGAAGTGCCCTCGTCACGTCCTCCACTGCAATCAATCCTGATGCGCGACCTATACCGAATGATGACGTGCTGCTCTCGTACGTCTCCCCGCTTGCCCAACGATAAAGTGCGTATGCGACGTGATCGGGCATCAAAGGCTCCCTGTACAATGTCACGCTGCGCTGCAGATTAGGGGACAATGCCTCGACGATCTCCAGGAATACTCTACGGGACATCTGCAGCTTCTCCTTATAGTAGCCCTCCGCCGTGTCATCCATCTTCCGGAGATCCTCCCATGTCCCGCCCGTCCTTCTCCTCATCCACCATTTTGGAGTCGCCCGTGGGATCGCACCCGATGCCATAGCGCAGCAAAATTGCACAATGGATTCCGACAACGACACACAATCGGACACCTCCATAACTTGTTCATGAACTGCCTTTGCCTGCGAATGGACAGTCTCATCTTCAGGCGAGTTGTGGCTCGCTCAATGCGATAACGAATGGCGACGGCCGACACAACCACAACCACGACATTTCTCTCCGAAGTCGCCAATGCATTCCCGACGGCCCACACCTCTCCCTCCATGTTCATGACGTGCAATGCAAAAATGCCCAACACCCCTTTGCTCGCCGGCGCCCTTGTTCCCTTGTCTCCACGTCGACGGATGTGGCGGCAGCACTCTACGTGCTTCACGGAATCCCACGCTTCACACACACCCCCGACGTACGCGGTCAGCTATGGCAGTACACAGGATTGTCATGGACGGCCCGTAGAGGAAGGTGGAACTCTTTGGCGACATCGCGCGGGACGATCGTTACCGTTCGTGCTACGCCGGCGTGAGTTCGAATGTCCGCCTATTAAGCCATGCCCGCCAGTACTCCTCCGTACGGATGTTTGGCTCCAGTGTGCACTCCAGCGGCCTTCTTGCCTCTGGCGCGGACGCGTCACTACGAAGGTTTGAAATTTCAAATTTTGAACTGGGATGGTCGCACCATTTTTTTTTCCCACCCTGGTGGCCTGCGGTGGGCCTCCCTGTCGCCGCAACTGGACCACGGCGACGACGCACGGACATCCCAGCACGACGACGGACATCCGCCCACCACGGCCGTGTGTATGCATATGAAATTGGCTGTCGGAGGCCTCCAAGTGTTTTCCTTGCGAAACATCAAATTAGGACACGGTGTAAGGACGACACCGAAAACCGAAAATTTTTCCAAGGACCTCGTCCTAATTCCTGAGGATTTTCCAAAGAGGGTCTAACGAGGCCCTAATACGTTTCAGAAATGCATGTTGTGTCTTCTTTTCAGGAAACATTGTTCGCAAAGTCTCCATACTGAGGTGGGTGAGAGAATCCTCAAGATTGAGACATTTCCGTATTTGATGCCGTTTTTATCGATAGGCTGCGTCGACGGGCTAGGGATTAAAAGGCTTGTTTCTTTTTTTTTAAACATCGTCCTGTCCTGGATCATGAGGTGATAGGAGCATCCCCCATCAGCAGACCCTGTTCTGGATGGCTCCATCGATTAGTGGGGAGCATCACTTGCTGGTCCAGCGTCCCATAATACATTTTACAGAGTTTGAACTTTGAACAATGATAGTCATACTTGGGAGCCTCCTACTGCATTGTCCGCAGGGTAAACAACCCGTGTTGTTCTTATGGGCTTCATCTACAAGAACACTCACTCGGTTAAGCTAGCGAGTGGTTTCTGTTAAGCCCATTGGACTGATAAACCCTCAACCCCGTGAATCCCCTAAGTCTCCGTACCCCCCTCTATTCAGTATCCCTCAATCCCTTGTCTCCTTTTTCTGACCCTTTTTTTTTTTTCCCAGGAAAACCAGCGACCACTACTAGAGGGGCTGATAAGAGCAGCTGCCTCTAGTAGCTGTCCCTGACTACTCCATCTATTGGTGGGGAGCTGCACCTGCCGGAAACCGGGTCCTGCGTCCCTGTGTAACAAGATCATCCACAAGAATAGTTTGAGAACAGTCCGCCAGCATTGGTTACCCCAGGATACCCAGGGGGATTGACTGAGCAGATAGGAAGGTTATGGAGACAAAAATGTCGCTTCGCCCTTTGAGCAGGGCGCCTCATCTATCCTGGTGTATCTAGCATCTTCCACCGTCATGAGTGTATGGATAGTATTTTCTGTAAAAATGATGAGTAGAGCTTAAGATCCTTTTGCTGCTAGCTGCTGTCCATTTCTTGAGTCACTTCTTGGCCAAGCTCTGGTCTTCATGTTCTCCTGCCAATCTCCGCTTGGTTCCGGTGCTGAAGCTGTTCCTCCCCGGGAGGCACTTGGGGTGGAATCTTGGGTCTTGTCTGTAGCAGCAGCTGTGCTCACATCTGAATTTCCGCCAATGAGAGGGGGTGAGGTGGGAAGGGGTCAGGGAAATCAGATGGGAGTCTCATTGGGAAGGACTCAAAGGAGGGTTCAACAGTAGTCTAGTCTTTGAAGACTACGTGGTAGTCCCTGTGTGGGTCCTGTTTTACCGAGTCTGCCTGGTCACCCCCCTATTCTACCCGAGATATCGATCCCTCCCGCTGATCCCCTAGCCAGTCTAAGCAGAATGCTGTAATTGTCTATTTGATATCCTGCTCAGTCTGAAGAATGTCAAGTCGTGATTTAAGAGCTTGTCATTTACGCATCAGTTTCACCTGGAAGAGCTCCTTCACTTGCCCGTTAACTCAGACGCTTCTATCTTCACACCTTCCATCACCAGGAGGCAACGCTGCCACCAAAGGGCCCAAAGGACCGACCTTCTTCCTAGACTGTACAGGTTGCTTATGAAATTGGGGGAGGCCGCCATTGATGGGCAATGTCCTATTAATATGGTCTGCTAGGACCAAGGCCAGTGAGTGTTTGGTACTATCTTGCGCCATATGCGGTGCCACCATCGTCATGTGAGCAGTGCCACCGGACATTTCATGAAGATTTGTTCGATGGTCTCTTCCCGCTTTCGTGAGGGAAAGGGGTTTGTGCACCTTTGACACCATGGGAGTGCCTTCCCTTTTTGCTCCAGGTGGGTGTGGTCGATTAACCAGGCATTTGCCGGTAGGCAGTGATGTGCGATCTACCATTGCAGGGACGTGACCTTGGCCGGTTTAGCTTTGCCCCTTGGAACCATTTGATCGGCGTGAGGAGAGCCTGGTTGATGTTAAGGTGTCTGGCCCACCTGTCAATGATTCAGTCTCGTTGAGGTCTTTTGGGTCGGAGCATCCTATACATGGATTTGACCGATAGGTTGGACTGTGTTCCGGGGTGTAACTGTTGGTCGTCTGACTGTCTGCCATTGCCAATCGCAGGGATCGATGGGCAGGTCATGGATGGGTGTCCGGGGTTGGAAGGAGATGACCTTGTCACCTTCTCGTATTACCCTTATTCCAAACATTCCTGTTTTCTCCTGCCATACAAATGGTCTCGGGATCCCTAGAGTGTGCCCCTTGGACCCATCTTATAGTATTCCACCAGTACTTCCGAGGGGCGTATCATGTGGAGTCTGCCAATCCTATTCAATTTCCCTGGCAGGGCAAACCAGTCCCCTTCCTGTAGTATGGCCCCTCGTCTCAGCAGCTTGTACCAAGCCAGCGGAATTGCTTCAATGATCATTTCCAGGTATCTATCCGTTTGGTGGCAGTACCGGAGAGTGTCCTGGAGCTGGGTTGTTGTCTTCCAGTCGTTCCTCTCGTTGTCCTATAGATGGCCGACTCGAAGTACCCCATGTTTGACCCATCCTTTCCATGGGGTCATTGAGCTACACAAAATTTTACCATGGGGGGTTGCAATTCTCCGATTTCAGAAAAGGGGCTGATGATAAACTTCCTCCCACCTTTCCGGGGTGGTGCATCGGGAAGGGGTAGACGGTGTCAACTCTTCAAGAGCGTGGGCCAAAAATTTTCCACCGGTTGGCCTTGGATTTTGCGGGGAATCAACCAGTAGCGGTCCTCTAGCCATGTTAGGGGGTGTACTTCTGACGGAGTCGGTGGGGCCAGGCGGGCGACGTGCTCAAGGGTCAGGGCCTGCCAAGGGCAATCTGGAGCGAAGATGAGTTTTTGCAGCCATCTTAGGCGAAGAGCTCGGGTCTGTGTTGGCGGGTCTATGATTCCTAGCCCCCCCCCCCCTTTTTTTGGTTGTATGACTGTTTCTCATGCTACCAAACTAATGACGTTGGCCCTCTCAYCAYCCCCCCGCCATAAGAAGGCTGCAACTTTTGCTTTGAGAGCCCAGTAGGCGGCTTTGCTTATTGGTAATAGCATCGACTTATACCACAACGTGGCAAACACGACGTTATTGATAGCCAGTGCGCGGCCAAAGATTGAAGTGTGTTTGTTACGCCAGTTTGCCAATTTGATGAGTGCTGGTGCACATATTCAGTCATCATTGTCGGAGGACGCCCCAAGGTTGTGATGGTGACACCTAGGACGTGGACCGGTGCCTCCAAAGGAAGCCATGATATCCTGGGGGAGTCAGGCGGTCGTCCCCTTTGGTGATGGATCCACCATCCCTGGGTTTTGCTCCCCCAATTCACCACCATATTATATACCCAAGTGAACATGTTCATTAGTCGCTTGATTTCTTCGATGTTCTTTTCTATGGCGTCGACCATAATAGTGAGGTCGTCCGCGAACAAGGAGCACACTGGGATTGCCTCATCAGGGATTCAAGCTATTCTAACTCTGGCAATGTCCTTGTTGGTTCGAAGGTTTGCGAATAAGGCTTCCATGATTACAAGAAAAAGGAAGGGTGCAATGGGTCGCCTTCACTGACCGATCTCTCGGACAGCACACACACAACACACACACACACAACACACCCACAACAATTACACATGATACACACAGGAGGCTTGTTTCACAAGAAGCGTCATAAATCGCTGCACCTGGGACTTAAATTGAGTTCTACACAAATCACAGTTGCATATGAATGTCATATCGCACTCTACACACACAGGGTGACAGAGAGCTAGGAGTTAGCAACTAGCAGCTACTTGCATTAGGAACATTGTCACTGGAAGCTAACAGCCAACAACTACTCGTAGTATTAACAGTGATACTGGAAGACGTCAGGATGGTTCAATAGAATGTCACTGACAGTGCACTGAGAGTGTACAAGTAGAATGATGGGCCGCTCACCGCCCAACCTGCACAACTAAATATACAATCAAGCCCACATTGCGTACATTGCTTACATTATGTCAGGGGTCGAATCTCCATGTCGTCCGCGTCTTCCGCTTCGTCTTCGCAAATCACATCTGTAGATTCATAATCGCTCGCTCGTTGGGAGTCTTCTGCATTCGGTTCTCCACTTGCCACACGCATCCTGGACACCCCATTCGTTATGTTCTCCGCGGCCATTTAACGCATCTGTCGCCGACATCGTCTGATCCGGCAATGCTTGTGTTCGCCGCTGGTGCTCCCATCCTCTGGCGTGGTCACTCAAAGGCGATGTCGAAGGGGGGGGCAACGACATGCGAAACATGTCACCGGATGATCCCGCACCCCGAGAAAATGGAGGCGGCGGACGACACCCATCAGGGCTCACACCTTGCAGAGAGGAGCTTTCACCGTGCATGCTCGATCCGCCGACGGTCACACCAGGCACTGGGTTGAACGTGCGAGTGTGTGTAGCTGTTGGACCACTCCCGCTTGACAAACCAAAATCCAAGTCCACAATCTCCATATCGCCTCCACCGACATCGTTCTCTAGCAGAGCAGAGAACGAATGACGACTTGTCACGGCCTCCCGTTGTCCACTATGGCCCCCCATCCAGTCCTGCGTCGATCCGATCCCCAGAGGCAGAGTGCGGGACAGATCATCCACCCATTGCTCTTCAAGATCCGGCGATAACGGCTTCTCGTGAGGTGGGAGATTACTGTACAATGTTGGGTCATATGCGCCTGCAAGACGCGCCCCGACCGTCGCTCCCGAAGTGGAGTACTCGACGGCGCGCCCCGATTGTCTGTTGGATGCTTCAGGCCTGTCCATCGTCGTCTTCTCAAAGTTGGTCGTTTCCGTCCACTGCGAGGACCCCGCACAACGACCCATACGTGGAACAACATGACAACGAGCAGGAGAAGAGTGGCCAGCAGCAGCAGCGGGAACCGTCCGAGGACATCTGCCATGAATCGCAGCGTGTGACGCATGTACCAAACGCAGATTGCATCCCCGTGGGCAACAATAGTCGGTTGGACATGGAGGCCGTCGAGGCGCGCACACAAAACCCCGCTCCACGGAGCGCCTCGCACCTGCAGATCTGCCCCAACACATTTTCGCACCAACGGTAATGGTCTAAAGGCCGTTGTCAGCCCGCCGGGTACTGGAGGCTGGCGATGTCCACCCAATGGACCACGGACGACCTGTGCACCAACGTCAACTCCGGATTTTATTGTGGTCGCGAGCTCCAGAACGCTCCGTCTACCGCGGATCCTTTATCCCAAGGGACCTCGCGAGGACCCCTTGAATCCAAGGACGTTTTGGCTGGGGATTCCGAGGAACCCAAGGAAATCTCTTGGGACCGTTTTCACATTCGTTCAAGGGATTTGGCGATTTAGGAGGCGGTGTAACGATGCCGATTTCTGATTTTGCGGTTTTCCAAGGAGGGTCTAAGGAGGCTCTTAGATAGCCGGAGGGAGGACCAGTCCACGAACCAGCTCAAGTATCGACTAGAGCAATCCCCATGGCTCTAGTCCTTGTCCTCTACAACACCCTGGGCTTTATTGGGGGAAAAAAAAAAAAAGAGAGGTGATGTGGAGCGAAGGGGTCCGTGATCTCCGTCCAAAGGGCGCAGGTGTGGGAGGTCCTCAGCCCTGGTTCAGTAATGCAACCAGATCCCAAGAGACAACTGAGGCTTCATCCTATTCCAAACATAATGACACTTCAGGGTCTGTACCGGGCACCCTTGTGAAAAGTGTAGGCAGAATACCTGCTACGCACAATGAGCAACAGCATCCATATACCTCAGAGTCGCTGCTCTTTTCGTTTTTGTTTTTTTTCCCTTTTTTTCTTGAAGGAAACCACCCCCTTTATATTCTGGGAGGGTACCAGTCCCGTTGCTTATTCCTGGCAAGCAAAAGAAATATAGGAAAAAAGAGAACATACTCTCACAAGGTAACTGAAAGCAGCAGGGGCGTGGTCCCACTAGCAAAGAGGGTCGGATCGAATGCCTGAATCTGGACGTGTTTGTAGAGAGGTGCAGGAAATTGAGATTGAACTGCTTTTCTGCATCTCTGCATAAAACACATCCAGATTCAGGCATTCCATCCGATCCTCTTTGCTAGTGGGACCTCGGCCCAGGAGACTAACTAAAGTACCCAGTCCTACCCTGTTGGCCTTGATCAGCCATGTTCCAAAATTCCTATCCTTTTTTTTTTTGGGTTGCAAAGGAATGCCGGGTGCAATCTATTCGTGGGGAGCTTCACATGTTATCTCACTTATGAAGAGGACCCGGTTTCCAGCACGTGCTGCTTCCCACCAATAAAATAAAGCCTCTCTGGGAGTGCAAGTGGTGTCTGATCCAATCAGCACCGCTAGCATCAGCTCAGACTTTAAACCACCAGTACTTCCTAAAGTTGTGCCCGTTAACGCTACGGGATTTTAGGAAACATACGGGCCACTACAGGAGCGCCCAAATTCATCCAACTAGAAATGTTTCTCCTCTATTTTTTTCCGCGGCCGATAGCTGGGCCAAATACTGGTGGTTTAAGAAAAGGAAAAAAAAAAGAACAAGAAGAAGAAGAAGATTCAAAACTAAAGAACGAATTAGGAGTCAGAAATGTAAAAACTCCAAGATGAAAACCAGATTAGGGCCTCGTCAGACACTCCAAAGAGAGTCCTAAGCACCCAAGGATGAATCCTGGGAAAAATTTAGGGTTTATGCCGTCTTAATTCGACTCATCCTGGGAGCGTGGGCTTTAGGACTAGTAGTCCTGATGTCCGAGAAAAAAGGAAAGAACAAAGGAAAGAAAAAAGAAAAGAAAAAAAGTTGTGCTTCGGGCTTTTTGTTTCAGCGAATAGGGTACCGGCGTACCGCCATGATCGGGATGCTAAGGTTGTAACATACCACTACGTGCATGCCCTCTCCTCTGCTCTGCGTGAAACACGGATCCTCGGGCTGCCAGGGAACTCACGAGGTCCCTGGAGCCAAGGACGAAGGATTTGTCCTCGGCCCAGAGTGTTTTCACATTTTCATTTCCGATCTCAGCCCCGAGGACAGGTGGAAAGACGACGAAATCCTTGGAGCTGTATTCCCGAGGAGTGTCTAACAAGGCCCTTACCTAAAAAGCCAAAAAAAAAAAAGGAAACAAGATGACCTCCTCTGGCCCCAGAGGGGGCTTCAGACACGCAGAACAGGCCCTTGAGGGGGGAAGGGGCAGAACTCTGGTTGGCGAAATGGCAGGGGGAAGAGTATGCATGGCAGATGTGTGATAATAATAATAATAAAAATAATGATATATGTCGCAGATGTTGCTAACCTCTGCCAGAAATTTGGCAAAAACAATCTCGTGAGAATGATCTCCGCCGGGTGAATAGCTTAGTATAAGGGAGGGTAGGCAGACGACCTCCGCTGGCAGAAAATGAGAATCATGGAGCTGGGCAGAGGCCTTATGCACGGAGGGGGCCTAGGGTTTGCTTTGCATGGTTATGTGAACTATTAGTGAGAGTGGAGGACAGTTTGCCACCCTCCCCATGGCTAGAGCTTCATGCATGCTGTGACCTGGCTGATAATTGGGCAGTCAATCCCCTCGTGAGAGGGCAATCAATGTTGTTCCGCCAGGTATATTGTCTTTGATCTTGTCAGTGGGACGCTGGACCCGGTTTCCAGCAGGTGATGCTCCCCACCAATAGATTGGAGCCATCTATAAACTGGGGCTTGCTATTGGANAAAAAAAAAAAAAAAAAAAAAAAAAAAAAAAAAAAAAAAAAAAACTAACTTGCCAATTCGGCCTGAACACAGCTCCATCTGTTGTCCGTTCAGATGGACCTGCCTTAAGGCCGAAGTGTCAAGTAGCGGTACCGGTACCGGTACCCCGTTTTTTTCACGAAAAGACAGAGGGTCGGCAAAAATCGGCACGCAGGGCAAATTCTGGCTCGGATTCAATAGCTGGCCGAGGTACTAGTGGTTTAAGGAAATCATAACCACAAACCAAACAGCCCTAGACCGTACCTGCACACAGTACACCCAGCCGTAAACCCACACCCCCCCAAAAAAACCCTCCTTCAATTACTAAAAATCCAACCCCCAAAAAAAAGAACCCCACAACCCCACAATACCCACCTGCCACCTAAAACAAAACCGCAACCCAACTTGCCAGCCACACCTCCCACGAAACGACACCAAAATCGGTCACAGACCAACAAAAGAACAAAAAAAACAAAAAGAAGACCTTACCCTGCCAGCTGACCGCCACCATCTGCCAAAAGGTCTGAACCACCACGCCCGCCAAAGAAGGGCATACAAACACAAACACAACCTGCCATAGCCACGCGCACGTAACAGCTACCCTCCCACTTGCAGCCCGATCCAAGAAGAAGCCAACCTCCATCAACATACAGACAACCAGTGTTCCTCCATCCCAGTTCACGTCGCCACCAGCTTCCCGTCCCACTTGCCACCCGCCTACCAACCCTGCAAACAGCCCACAAAAACACTCGCACCAGAACTCCCGACCCCCCTGCCCCCACTTTGCGTTTTTTCCCCCCACAAGAAACCCCCTCCTTCTTCCTTCCTCATCACCCATACCATACCCCAACCCCCCTGCCTCAACCTCACCACCCACCACCCCCATACACATGCCAACACTCCCCGTCATCATGGCACTTGTACTTCCCCTCATCACACCATTCCTCCCACACCCCCAACTCCCCATGACCATACCACACTACTCCACTCCCCCAACCTTCCAACCCCACCGTCAACCTCGATCCCCCCCCACACATACACTACCTCAACCGCGACATCCCAACCCCCCCACCCACTATATATCTATCCTCCTAGCCAATGGGTTCCTCACAAACCACCCCTGGTACGTGGCAGAACCCACTGTTGGCCTTCAACTCCTCTTCTTCGTCTCCTACTCGCCCCTCTTGCTGTACCTTCGCTGTGCTATTCGTAGGGAGCGATCTCCGCCATAGCTTTCGGCACCTTGAAGCATCTCCCGAAATCTTCTCCTCCTCAAACTGCCTCACTTTACTCCCTCTAATAGTAAAGTGAGTGTGCAGCTCGTGAGAGCACGATCGGCAAGCACTGAGTTAAGTTCCAAAACACTTTGGTGTTGCGATCAACAGCGGGGTGTACATTGTCCATCTAAGACAACGATGGCAGCTACAAGCGATCATTTTGCGGACGCTGATATCAACGAGCATGTGGTGAGTCCTGTAATCGGCCCAACCTCTTGCTCATTCAAACCCCCCCTCTCTCTCACTCACCCCCACAGAGGGAGCCAGAGGATATCACCCTCTGATGAGCCGTGTTGGGCGCAAGCGGTGAAAAGCGCTTGAGAGGATGCGCCACACCTCCTCTGTTGGTTACTACACCAACTATGATGGCCATGCCATCACTGCTCCCTATCTCCTATCCTCCCTTCCACTTCTTCTTCCCCTCTCCATGGGCTGGCATGCAGGTATTTGCTGACTGGTGGCTGCCATTTAAGAGGACGTGCAATCTACAGATGAATATGGAAGGTGAGTTCAAAACGGAGGAGGTTCCCATATCTTGGGTTGCTTTGTTATGTTACACTACTACACACACACACACACACACGTAGTCCTACGAAACAGTCTGGCACAATGCTTCGTTAGAGTGTATAGTGGATATGACAAAAAAAAAAAAAAAAAAAAAAAAAAAAATCAGGAAGAAATAAAAGGACAGCCTAAAAAATAATAAACCTTGACTTTCCTTAAAAAAATAAAAATTCCTAAAAGAGTGGCCTCTAACTAGTCTCAAAAGATTCACGGACTTACTGCAGAGCGGCAACAGCCCTCACGTGTAACACCGGTCGGCGCTGTCAGGAGAGGATGTCAGGAGACGAGTCCCATGCCAAAGTTGTTTGCATTGCCATGTTGCATAGAATATGTTTCTTTCATATTTGCTTCAAAAAGGATGAGTGAAAC